TCTAGTTCTTGGTAGGCAATTCATTCCATGATAGCTTTAGTGTGACCGCCTGTGTATTTGATCTAGTTATGGGTAGACAATTCATTCCATGTTAGCTTTAGTGTGACCGCCTGTGTTTTTGATCTAGTTAAGGGTAGACAATTCATTCCATGCTAGCTTTAGTGTGACCGCCTGTGATTTTGATCTAGTTAAGGGTAGGCAATTCATTCCATGATAGCTTTAGCGTGACCGCCTGTGATTTTGATCTAGTTAAGGGTAGGCAATTCATTCCATGCTAGCTTTAGTGTGACCGCCTGTGTATTTGATCTAGTTAAGGGTAGACAATTCATTCCATGCTCGTTTTAGTGTGACCGCCTGTGTATTTGATCTAGTTAAGGGTAGACAATTCATTCCATGCTAGCTTTAGTTTGATCCCCAAAACAAAACCAACAGCTCCAAATGCTAGAGAATTTAAAATTTCTTCACCAGGTAAATCGACCATCGCTGCCTTGCTAGAGAGGTTCTATGATGTAACATCAGGAACTATAACTATTGATGGGACAGACATAAAGGAGTTGGACCCAGCATGGCTGAGAGGCCAGGCCATTGGCTTTATTAATCAGGTGATGAGAAGAGTATTAATGGCTTTATTAATCAGGTGATGAGAAGAGTATTAATGGCTTTATTAATCCGGTGATGAGAAGAGTATTAATGGCTTTATTAATGAGGTGATGAGAAGAGTATTATCTGTTTGTGAAACTAGACTAAAAAGTGTGTTTTTAAAAAAATCTAATTAATCTGTTATATTTCAGAATCATCCACACTGCCATTCATTTATACTCCAAAAAACTCCAACACACTGACCTCCATTATACACCCAAACTCCAACACACTGACCTCCATTATACTCTCAAACTCCAACACACTGACCTCCATTATACTCCCAAACTCCAACACACTGACCTCCATTATAAAATAACATCAAACAAACTCCATTATACCTATGAATGAATCTTTTCATTACTTTGCTCTTTTACTGTGTGTGCATGCATGCGTGCGTTTCTATGTGTATATTGATAAGGTCAGTTTTTGCCAAATTGATGACATTATGCATTTTGATATTTTATTTTATTATCAGGAACCAGTTTTATTTGCTACGACAGTCATGGAAAATATTCGCTATGGAAGGCCTCTGGCTACTGATGAAGAGGTCAAGTATACTCTTATATAAAACTAAATCTTTTGAGGAATGTTTTTTAAATTTCTGAACATTTTAGCTAAAACTCTGGGAAAGTCAAGTGGAATTATTTATATTTTCATTCAGGAGCCCTCTAAAATAAAATTATAAGATACCGTAACATATTTTTATTCAAGCCTATAAATGGAAATTTGTTTTTGTCATTCAAGTTACATATTTTTTCAGTATTGAAAATCTTTTTCTACATTGTTCCTTAAAATTAATCTATAGCAAAACTTCCATTGAATAATTGTGCTGTTTGAATAACTGTTGAGTTCTTGAGTGTGAGGTGTACAGAGTGCATCCCTTCATAAGTAATAATTGTGGCACACCCCCTTCATAACCCATGCCTTAATAACAACTGATACATTTATCTCTGCGCAGGTGATAGAGGCAGCAAAGCTTGCCAACGCCCACGACTTTATCACAACATTTCCCAATGGCTACAGAACAGTGCTTGGGGAGAGAGGGGTCACCGTGTCAGGGGGACAGAAGCAGAGGATAGCCATAGCCAGGGCTCTCATAAAAAACCCATCCATTTTGATACTGGACGAGGCAACCAGGTAATTTCAAGTTGACCTTTTGTTGAACTTAAATAATTATATCTGAAGGCACAGATATTTATAATCCTTCTGGGCACCTCCTGCATGGATGACAACTCATCCAATCACTCTGCCATACCTTAAGTTTATACTTGACCCCCCCCCCCCCTATTGGGTTACCCAAATTTTTTCACCCATTTTATATAACCCAAGTTTATT